AAGGTCACATCAGCAGGTGCAAGTGGAGGGGTGGGGAATCAAACCCAGTTCTCCCAGATTAGAGTCCGCACACTTAACCACTACACCAAACTGGCTCAAACAAGAGGACTCTGCAGAGCTACTTGAAGACAACAGATATGGTGAGGTATTAGGTAAGCTCTTATACCTATCTACATTAACAAGACCAGATATAAGCGCAACAGTGGGTCTGTTATGTAGAAAGACTGCAAAACCCACAAACAGAGACTGGAAAGTTGTTGAAGGCTTTCGTGGCTGGAGTGCATTAGTTGTAGAGTTTCTGGGCTGTATGGCTGTGGCCTTGGCATTGTACCTGATGCTTCGCCAGCAGCTGTGACTGGCATCCTCAGAGGTATAACACAGAAAGATGGAGTACTCTCTGTGTCAATGTTTCTGTCAACATTGACACAGAGAGTACTCCATCTTTCTGTGTTAAACCTCTGAGGATGCCAGTCACAGCTGCTGGCAAAGCATCAGATACTACAATGCCAAGACTATGGCCATACAGCCTGGAAAATCTACAACAACTAAAGAGACTGGAAAGCTCTTGCAAAACTTGTGAGGTACCTGAATGGTACTGCAGAACTTAAACTTAGGTTACCGACCAATGGCAGCCCTAAGCTAATTACATACGTAGATGTAGACCGGGCTGGACACTTAGCAGATAGAAAATCTACGCGTGGCAACATAACTTTCTATGAAGGAGGAGCTATAAGTTGGTTAAGCAAGAAGAAGAAGAGATTGGATTTATACCCCAGCCTTCACTACCCAAAGGTGTCTCAGAGCGGCTTACAAACTCCTTTCCCTTCCCCTCCCCACAACAGACACCCTGTGAGTTAGGCGGGGCTGAGAGACCTCTGACAGTAACTGCTCTTTTTCAAGAACAGTTCTTATCAGAGCTACAGTTTGCCCAAGGTCATCCAGCCAGGTGCAAGTGGAGGAGTGGGGAATCAAACCCGGTTCTCCCAGATTAGAGTCTGCGCACTTAACAACTACACCAAACTGGCACAGTGAGGCATGATTGCAAGTGCTATGGTTGAATCAGAATACGTGTCAGCAGTGCTAGGCTGTCAAAAGATACGGTGGCTACTTCAGCTACTGAAAGACATGGGTATAGATGCACCTCAACCCATGATGGACCATGAAGACAACAACAGCTGCATTCACATTTCTGAGAAAGAAGATGTCAACTTGCACACCAAACGCATTGACATGAAATATGACCTGGTGAGAGATCTGCAGAAAGAAGGAGTTGTCAAGCTGACCCACTGTCCAATGAAGCAGATGACTGCAGATGCGCTCACCAAACCACTCCCTGGAGAACAGTTTGAAGTTCTAAGAATGAAGATGAGTCTCATGAGCTGAGTCATGAGATATTGAGAGGGGATGTTGGAAGTGAAGGACTGGACGTGTCGCCTGCCTCAGCCTCCAGACCATGTGGCAACAGGGTCAGACAGCTGGAGTGGGCAAACCCCAAGCTTCCTTCCTGTGTCTGCTCTTCTGACACTGTCCCCTTTGATGTGTAGATTGTATTCTCAGGGCAACTTCCTTCCTTCCATTCATCCTTCCCCAGAACTCTCTTCTCTCTCTCCCTGCATGCTCAGAGAGGGAAGACACACTGTCCTCATCTTGCAACCATGACACAGATAGGCCTCTCACCATCTGTCTCCATCCTTAGTTAGCTAGACTAGAATACTATCCTGTCCCTAAGATTTCCTATCCAGATTGCAGTTCTAGAACAAAGTGACTAGTTTTAGTCTTAAACTTGCGGCATGTCTCCGTGTAGCTTTGTAAACTGGGTAACCTGGTGAAAAGATGCTCCTGCGTTTGTAGCTTTATTTAAAGCACCCTGTTAACCAGCGAGTACTGGACTAACCACACCAATTAACCCAACAGTTTTCTCCACACAGACCTACACTTGAGGAAGGGGAAACATTTGCAGAAATGTGGAGAAAATGTTTTGCATTCACACTGCAGCTATAGTGGTGCAGGAACACTGTAGCCATAGCTACAGTGTAGAACAGGCATTGTACGTTAGTGAAGCAAGAAACCGATACTTCAGTCCCCCTTGGGCTCTTTTTATAGCAGGATCTCATCTGCATATTAAGCGACACACCCCTAATGAAGCCAATCCTCCAAGAGCTTACAGTAGCTCCTGTAAGAAGAGCTCTGTAAGCTCTTGGAGGACTGGCTACATTAAGGGGGTGTGGCCTAATATGCAAAGGAGTTCCTGCTACAAAAAGAGCCCTGCGAAATCACACTAAAGTCAATGGGACTGACTTCTGCATAGGTGTGAGCTAAGTGAGAGCCAGCATGATACAGGGGCTAGAATGTCACTCTAGGTCTTGGGAGAGCCAAGTTCCAGTCTCCACTCTGCCATGGAAGCTCACTGGATTACTTTGGCGCAGTTGCTCTCTGTCAGCACAGCCTACCTCACAGGGTTGTTGTTGTGAATGTAAAAATGGAGGAGAAGGGGACAACAGTGTAAGCCGCTTTGACAGTGCAATCCTAACCAGAGATATATCCTTTTAAGCCATTGAAATCAGTGGGTTTAGAAGAGTGCAGCTTGGCATAGAATTGCACTGTGAGTCCCCCCTGGGGAGAATAGTAGAGTATAAATATATCTAAATAAATAAATGAAAATAATGTAGAGTAGTTAGAGTGCTAGACTTGGAAAGATGAGGATACCAGTTATTAGGCCCCTAATCCTGGAGGGGCCCTGAAGCAACTTTTTTTTAAATGAGTGAATTTTTCAACAAAATTGATGGAGTTCTGTAAGTGTTTGTTATTAAAATAAGACTATTTTAGCGACAGAATCATAAGCCAATGGGATGAAGTACTTAATATTGACCTTAGAATATGCTCTAATACCCGTTTCATATGGCCTCAAAATGTCACTGTAACTGGTCGGATTTCAGCATTTTCTCAGGGGCTTGCAGCACCTGAAACCCCAGCTGTATGGGCTTGCCGAGCTCACCAGAGTCTATTCATAGCCTTCATTTTGGCAGCTGGATCCTCGAATCCTTCATCGGTGCGCAGCTTAATAGTTCTACAGCTCAGTCCTTAGCCAATAAGAGCCATAAAAAGACATCTGAATTCTCAGTTCAAGCTGCACTAGTCTCACTTGTGCATTTTAATATCAAAAATTAGATTTTCCCCATCCTAACGAGTCCCACCTCCTCTGATGACCTTCTACCTTTGGACTTCATTGGACGTTGCCCTGTTGTTGCTGGTTGAGAAGCCCCCCTCCACAACAGCACAAACTTCAGGGTCCCAAAAATGTGGGTCCGCCACTGGGTACAGTTACTGGTGCCCAGGGATGCCCATCCTGAACTGCCAGCCTATTACTAAGATATGACTAAGATTACTAAGATATAAAAATATTATTATTTTTAATGGCACACAACCTTCTATGGAATCCGGTGGGAGGAGGGAAGCATGTTACATGGCAAGGTAAGTTAAGGTTTTTCTTTTGGCACTGCAGATTCTACGCCATGTTGTGCCACGTTCTAGGTGCCACTTCCAACTAAGCGTTATAATTTCTTCTTCCACTTAAAAGCTCATCCCTAGAGGCCATAGTAAGTTGCATGTAGCATGTTACAAGTTGGTGCAAAGCCCAGAGTAATGATATTTGGGCCTTGCTTAGCCACAAAGCTTGTTGGAACTAGCTGCTGCAGGACAGATGTGGCTGCCACTACAACAGCAGCTCCCTCCCCTCTGGGAATATTTAGCAATACGGAATGTGCAGCTGTGACATCCCTGCACTGTAAGTCTCCCTATTCCTGAAAGTCTGACTTGTGCTCACTTCTAGGGGCACAGCCTCACCATTAGACAATAGGAGCACAGCTTGACAGGAGATACAGTTATCACGGAACTTTGCTTGTAAAGTGTCTGTTCTCTCCCCCCCCCTCCTTGGATCCTGTAGAAAACATTAGGCTGGACATGTAATTGAATTCATTATAGTCGTTTTTTGTAAGGGTTCAGGATTAACCATATCAGCTGTTCTACCAGTGCATTGCAAACACAATGCACAGTATGCAGGTAGATATGCTGGCATTCACACTTAGGATCAGGGTGATGGTCCCGTTTTGGGAATCGTGTTTTGACAGGGGGTAGCTATTTGGATACCCCTGACTTGGATAGCCCAGGCTAGCCCAATCTTATCAGATCTCGGAAGCTAAGCAGGGTGAGCCCTAGCCAGTGTTTGGACGGGAGACCTCCAAGGAATACCAGGGCCATGACACAGAAGCAGGCAATGGGGTTGATGGCACTTGGTGGCACTGTCTACCACCACAGCTATTTGCACAGAAACACATAGTAAATAAATAAATAAAGTAGTAGCTTGCAGCTACATAATTAGGCTTTCCAATATATCTAAACAAAATTACAGACAGAGAACTGAAGTTCAGTACTGTGACTTCACTAATAATTCCACACAGTGCCTGAACTGATACATTTTGGAATTCTTCTAGTGGAAGATCATGTACAATTATTGTACAATGTTCTATCAGTGCTACTGTTGTTTTTGTTTAACTATCATGTCTAAAAAAAAACATTGAAGACTAGAAATTAATAATCAGCCCATTGCAGCAAAATGCTAATTCTTGCTCCACCAACCTATAACTCTGTACCGGTTTGCGTTCACAAAACTTAACAATACACCTGCAGCATTACAGCAATTGACTCACAGCATCAGGGGCAGATATGCCAGTATAAAAGTGTGGAAACCAAGCACCACAATGTTGCATCCCCACCACCCACCACCAGAATACAGGGCCACAATTCTGCCACTGAATTATTTATACTATATTCCGTTTTTAGCATATGTCATTTAAATGGGATGTGCTTTCCAAAACCGCCTGCTTAAAAATCAGCAAATGGGAATCACCGAAGAACCCCTTCCAGAGTTTTCAAAGATGCAAAGCAAATAAACACAGAGGAGAGGGGGAAAGTACAATATAAATGTTTTTATTTCTCAGGTATACAAGAATATAAATAATTGAAATCTCAAAAATATATTAAGGTTATCATTTTCAAGTCAGTGTTCTATTTTTTCTTCTTCTCTCCATGGCAAGGCAAGAGGAACTCCATGGGAATCAATATTCTCGCCCTCTTTCAACCCATTCCAGCAAGCTAACACTCCCTCAGGTACATACACACACAGAACATACACAATTGCTTTATAAAAGCTTGGGAAGCCAAACGAAAAACAGGATCCACTTGAGCCTCCTTCAGATGGCTTGTACCACTGATTTTGGGGGGTTCCCCCCCCAAAGAAAAACAATCATAGCTAGAGCCCTTTTAACACAAATAAATAAATAAATATGATGATGTGCAAGTCGTCGCTGGTAGGTTTGTTCAGTCCAGCATTCCCGATCCTTTCATGGGCAGCGGGGGAGATCTTGAAATGCTCAGTCTATAGTCGTCTTTGCAGGGTCCGGATTCTCCCCGACGGCCTGGCCAAGGGTCCCGAAGAGCCTGTCCCAGTGCGTAAAGTAAGGCGCATAGTTGAACTTGAACTTCAAATGGTGGAGGTCGTGGTGCACGGCTCCCCCGTAGAGGCCGAAGGGGACCAGCCGGTGGGTCGACCAGGGCAGGTCGTAGCCGGAGTGGTCCTCCACGGCGAGCCAAATGTTGGCCAGGAAGAAGGCCATCTCCGTCATGGGATGGCACCTGAGCAGCAGGGGGACCAGGGCGGCGAAGAGGCCCAGCCAGAGCAGCTCCCAGCGGCTGGAGTACTGGGTGCTGAGCGCGAAGGTGGAGACGTGCTTGTGGTGGACCTTGTGGAAGGTCCTGTAGAGCCAGGGGACGCGGTGGTGGAGCAGGTGCCAGAGGAAGTAGAGGAGGTCGAAGAGCAGCAGGCAGGCGACCAGGTCGCGCAGGAGGCGGGGCAGCTCGGGGGCCCTCTCCGGCAAGCTCAGCGGCCGCCAGTACCAGTGCGCCACGGTGACGGGGAAGACGCCGACCAGGTGGTCGTAGAGGCTGCGCGCCGTGCACGCCAGCATCTGCCCGGCGGAGGGGGACGCCTGCGGCTGGATCTTGTACTTCTGCAAGGCGGGCAGGCGGCCGTGCAGGCAGTCCAGCGCCACGAAGGGCGAGCAGCAGCCCATGTAGGCGGCGAAGCTGAAGAGGACTGGGAAGAAGGGCGACCGGAGCCAGCCTTCCCGCGCCCGCACCGAGTCCCAGAGAGCCTGCAGGAGCAGCGCGCCGCCCGGCCGCTCGGCCAGCCCCGCCTCCCTCAGCGCGCCGCCCCAGCTCTGCGCCGTCCAGTTCATGCTTGCTGCGCTTGTGTCTGTGTGTCTGTGTGTGTGTGTGCGCTCTGGCGGCGCTCCTTTAAAGCGGCGCCTTTC